TGGCCATTCCTACTACTATTAAAATTCTATATGTAATGCCCGCCGATTTTTACTATGATGCTTATATGATGCTTATATCCTTTAACGGCGAATCACCTCTTAATCAATTTAATTAAAATAGATACAAAATAATATCTAAAAAAATTATAGTCTGTGTTAAGTTTAACTTAAACCATAATTCAAAATAATGCTGCTATATATTTATTTTGTTTAATTAATTAATTGCAACTTATATTTTTTTAATTTAGATTCTAGCAAGAAGCCATATAAAGTCAAAAATCTCAGACTATTTGTTTGAGTTTATATAGTGCTAGCAGAATAAAAATAAACTTTGGAAAATATATTAGAGATATGAAGAATATAGAATATTTTAAAAAAAATGAAATAGACAAAACTAATAAAGAAAATAAGAAAAATAGTAAAAATAAAAATAGATATTTTGAAAAGAGAAAAATAGATAAAACTGATAAAGAAAATGAGAAGAATAGTAAAAATAAAGATAGTGAAAATTACAAATTAAAAAATAAAGAGAAAGATTTGCATGAAGATAAAAAGAATAAAGAAGAAGAGAATGAAGAAAATAAAGAGAATGAAGATAGTTTATTGAACCTTTTTTCTTATTAGATATACATAATATTATTAAGTGTTTTTGATAATTATTAATCTATCAACCTTACTATTTCATCCTATAGAACAATAATAAAAAAATAAGTTCTAAAAATTTTGTATATATAATATAAATTGTATTATACTATTACTATTAATAGACTACTTGAGGTTATAATATCAATAATCAATTATAGATTTCAAATTAGGCTAATATATATTATAGCATTTTTAATTTTTTATTAGAAGAATCAAATATATAAACAGCTTTGTACTTTTTTTACTAACATTGACTATAAAGATTATAGTATATTTTATTTGAAAAGGTATTTCAAATACTAACATACAGATTTTCTATACAAAATTTCTTATATAAATATTCTAAACAAATAAACAAATATCTGACTTTGTTATATTTTTACATATGTCTAATTATATACAGTAAAAATCTATAAACTCCACAAAGTTTTTTTTTAATACTATACTTAATAATATTAAAAGTTCTAAATCTGCAATAAATAGATATGCAAATATTATCACTATGTAATTATACTAAAAAAATTAGTTTTTGAAAATTTCTAATTTTAAATATAAAATTTTGAATCTATATTTATAGATATTAACAAATAACTTATTTTTTTAATCTACTCTTGAATTTGTTTTTGCTTTGTTTATATTAATTCCACATCATAACAAATGGCAGTTTTAAAAATTTACATAAAATTACCTGTCTCAGTTGATATCAAATAATAAATGAATATTTTATAATTATTAAAATTAATTCTTAAAACAATATTTAAAAAAAAAGATTAAACTTAAGAATAGTAACTCAAACGTAGCTAGAATTTTCTATTGTTTAGGATCTTGGCTGAATAGTTTTAATAAACAATTCATCTATCATCTGGAGAGGATCTGCAAATTTTATAAGTAAATTTTATTATTAAGCCAAATGTG